CTGTTTGAGCAGTAATCTCACCATTAGTGATCAGTCTGTTTCAAATTCAGAAATCAAGCGAAAGTAACTTAAAAACATCTGTGTACATAATATGTGAACAGGTGGAGTCAATGTTGGCAGCATCAGAGGAAGCAGCTGTCCCTTTTCTAACCTGGTAGAATATAAATCCCATGTGTCTGTCTCGAAACCAGAAGCCGAGGTTATAGTTGACTGGCAGCAGAGAGGAGCGAATAGAAGGAGTTCACCCTCAGAGCTGAAGAAGCACACGCTCACAAAACCTGATTTTACAAACATGAAATAAATTTGGTGCAATGATATCAACGTTGGGAACGCAGCAATTTTTTTCTTTTGAGAGTTTTTCAGCCCAGAAACTCCAGTTTGTACCTTTACGCTCTCTGCTCTCTTCTTAAAATCACAAAGATAACCCTGCTCGTGGCGCTGAGGGGACCAATGCGGGGTTTAAAAGCTGCTAAGTTAGAATCTCAGTGTGAACGTGGAGCCGCGACCTCTGCTGCCGTTCAGGATAACGGTGGGTGGAAAGTGTCAGAGCGTCTTTATTCAAGAGCTGTGCCTACTGTCAGTACAGGTTTGAGATGCTGACATTTAGGGGTAAGAAGATTTTATACTATTCAGCTTTGACTTTGACAGAGTTTCTTACTCCCACTCACAACATGCTACGAATTTTATATTCCCAAGTAGCCCAAAATGCAGTCATACCGTTTATTTTAACAATATTTTAAATCCTTCTTCTTCACTTACTGGCCTTTTTCTAAAGAAAAATAGACTTGGTAGAAATAGGCAATCAAATTAATTTTAAAAGATATTCAATACAAATACCAAAAGTTTTATATTTGCAACATTTGGGAGCAGCTTACAGCACTGCTCAGTGTCAACAATAGAGACAGAACACATAAAAAAAGCTACTTCTAATATCCTCTAAGTCTGTAACGAGTCTAACACGAAAACAGAGCTACAGTATCTATGCTGCATTGTTGTTATTCTGTATCTACCTGCTAATAAAGTTTATCCAATACATTCACTGAGGAAGTGCAGGTTTGACACCGTGCCCGGGTCCATGAATAATTGAAATCTGCTGTATAAACTCTTCATGGTTATACTTCATATTCAAAACGTTACTCTGGCTTTGCAAAATCACGTCCAGACAAAAAACGGGGTTTTACAAAAAACCATCAGAGCGCAACAAGTGATAAATTCATTTAAAAAATGGATCTGAAAACTTTTCATCAAAGCTCAAATCACTGTTTTCCATCTCGTGATTCTTACAGTTTGGTACAAACTGCCTGATAAAAATTTGATGTTTGACCTTTTCAACTCCATCCGGCTTTTTGCGAGCCGAAAACGCCACGACTCCTGCAGCTGGTGCGAACAAACTGAATAAAAGAGTCAAAGGTCAAACCACTCAGAGCAGGAAGTCGTCTGCACTGCAGATCCCGATCGTGAATTAAGATCTACAAGCTGTCAAACTGAACCCCCTCTGCACACATACCACGAATCCACCAGTGGTCACGTGTCTTGTTGGTCTCTGTGCTCAGAATAGCATCCTAAATGTGTAAATGGATTTGCTCACTGCCATCAGCGGGGGCTGGCATCACACACTTCGGAGGCCCGATACAATTTGCTGGTGTGACTCAGAGGTGTAACCGACCTCCAGACAGACAAGGACAATCGCAACACAGATAGAAGCAGAGGCTTTAACTCCAGCCGGACTGTTCGAGAGGCACAGGGAGAACTAAAATACTATGATCCAGATGATAAGATGTGGTGAAGCTACCCGGTGACTCCGGTGGACTTGGAGGATAAGCTGGCCTCTGACGGTTCGGGGCACCAGATTATGATGTAAAATTATGTGAGGGGGATAAAACAGCATTAAGGAAATGAAAAATGCTGCCATGTCACATTATCCTTACTGGATTGTTTTGTTCCAGAAAGCTGACTTGATTTTGAGCGACAGCTCCCCAAGGCGGGAGCAAAAGTCGGCCCTTCGCTCATCCATCAGCAGATCAACGCCGCTTTTACAAAATCAAAATCTGCTCTTTTCTCTTACTTTGAAACTTTTTGAGAACCCTCACAGTCCTGGGCATCAAAGTGTACGACTAACTAAAGGCTCTGTCTGTCTGCTTCATTTTTCATGCCTCTTTTCTTGCTCTGCTGCTCTGAAGATGATGGATGCTCCTGAAATCTACGGGGACAGCCGGTCATTAGGCTTGAGGTAAAGTGAATCACGCTGCATGACTGTGCTGCGGAGGGTGCAGAGGGCCAGCAAAGAACGCTACAGAGAAAAGTAAGAGACAAGGGAGTTGGTTTGAGCAGTCTTGTTGGTTGACATTACAGAGTCACATTGTAATGTGGCAGATAATAGCCCGCAGGTCAGGCTAGAGGCATGGAGAGCAGCCGGCACCTGCTGCCATTCACTCAAGGTGACAATAAGCCAATGTCGTCAAGTCCTAGATACAGCTCTGCAGTGCTCTGCCTCTAGGTTTGTGCATTTCAGAGAGGTTTTCGAACCATCTGTGCTGCTCACATAAATCCGGTAAAAATAAAAACAAAAATAAATAAGAAAGCACCTACCGCCTGCAACACAGCCACCCTGCATCTGAACTGATCTTCTCTACAAATCATACTGCATGCAACCACCCGTTACAGAACAAAAGCCCCACTATATTCTCTGCATGAGGCAAAAAGTCTTTGTTCCACAGCAGGTTTGGATATGCGAATGCATTTTTTTTTTTTGTCCCTTCCAGACTTCATGATTTTTACCTTGCACTTGAAAGGCAAAGGCAGAGCTTGTGCTTTAAAAGCAGGTCTCCAGCTGGCTACAAACAGCAGAGATAGAGGTCGATGCTCTCTAGTGCTGCCTCCGCTGAGCGGTCTACCCTTCAAACGTTCAGACAGCCATGAGAGCCCCAAGAGACCATAAGTTCCTGTTCTGTAGCCAGCTCTCACTGCTGCTGCCCTTCCTGCAAACGCGCACACACACACTAAGCGTTTAATTCACATCAGTATGTGAAACTTCAATGAAGCTGCTTTTGCACCCCAGCATCACAGGGTGAAAAACACCTCTGAGGGAAGGAAAAAAGGAAGTCACAAACTTTCCTGTCAAAACAACCTCATGTGTTTTTAGGAATTAATTGAAGGCAGCTGGATTTTTTGGCACCAACAAGCAAATAGCTAACTGATCTACCCTGGATCTGGCACCTCCCTACAAGTAATTTAACTGTAGCACAGGTCACTGCAAGAGGGGAGAAAGAACTTAAATGTTTACTGCTGTTTATTTTTTAACTTGCAAATGATAAATTTAAAGTGAAGAATACCTGCCCTCTCTAATAATCATTAGACCTCAATGAGCTCCAAAAAAAGATCAATTTAAAAAAAATAAAAATAAAAAAAATAAATAAAAAAAAGAGGCGGCAGCTTTGCAAACTGAATTTTCAACAGCCAAACATACAGTAAAAACTTAAGAGACATTTGTTGAGAGGCTGTTTTATCAGATGCAATATACACTTGGATCATTGGTCTTTCAAGTGCTCAGAAAATAATTCAACAATTGCGTAAACACCATCTGTTGAGGACGATCATGTGATATGACCGAAAGCTCCAGAGCAGTTGCAAAAATGAGCAGTGTGGTGAGACGTGAGGGACACCCTGAAACAGAGAGGAGGCAAAAATCAGAGCAGAAAGGGCCAGGACATCCTCACTTCTAGCACGGGTTCAGTGCGCTACAGTGCACTCCGAGTCTGTTAAAATTTCCAGGTCAGGCTTTTACTTTCCCTCATCAAAGCAGACACTGAAACTGAAAGAGCAAGAATTCAGTTGTTTTCCAAAGTGAATTCTTTATATGACTAATAAGTGACCTTTATGAAGAAAACAGGCGGAGTTCCCCATTTCAAATTACAGCACAATAACAGTTCAACACAGTGTTACTTTGAAGAGTGCTCCTTCATCTGCGATTCAGGGAATGAAAACTGGATAAAACCCAAAAGCACAAAAATAAATAAAAACCATTAGCGAGCTGATCCGCTCCCCCATTACTGACAATGCAAAATCAGTACAGCGGCAGCTCATCCGCGTGGGAGCAGATTGTTGAACAAGTACCGGTTCAGTCATTTTTCAAGAGGTTTTTCAGGGCTCTTTACAGCAGCTTCTGTAAGTACACCTCACACTCAGCAGTATACAGAGGGACCGTGCGTGCACACGGATAGACGAGGTTCGGCTCTGTGGGCAGCAGAAAATTACACTCATCAGCCTCTTGTGAGCCACATGACAGCAGCCGTCCCCCTCACCGGCAGCAGTCAGATGTGAGCGCTGTGGTAACAGCACTTTTTTGCTTGGATGAACTCGAGTCAAACTGCTGAAAGTCACCTGCTTTAATTCAAAAATAGTCCTGGTTCATCCGCCGTCACGGTTTGAGAGTGTCACACCTTTGATGTGCATGTCAGACATGAATTTCTGAAACCAAAGCTAAAATCCTTGTCTTTAAATACATGCATAACAGTAAGACTGCAGACAATTTGTGCTAAGACAAACTAAGCCAACAGCTCAAAGGCTGATCAGAACCTCACTCGTGGCGAGTCCTATATAAAAGACTCTAGCACAATGATTCCAGAGCCCTCAACCTTCAGCTTGCCCATTATTGCTTGCAATGTTGAGTACTGATCTTGTAGAGGAGAAATATTTTAAAATACACCTGCACAACTGAAGCGCCTTAGATGTTTACAGATACGGCATCAACATGAGGCTGAAAGATTTGAAGACGAGTGTGAGCATCTTTTAAGTGCAAGCTACCAGCTGCAGAAAACCTACCCTACTAATATTCTTCAAATTTAGTGCAGAACATTTGCAAACCTGCAAAGTTTGTGTTCATGTTGTGTCGTACATGAACAGTAACATGTCCAAGCTGAAGTCCAGTTCCCCTTATGCTCCCAACTCTAGTTTTATGCAGCACTACTGCCATCTAGTGGTAACATACAAGCAGGCCGAGGCAAAGGGATAAAGTTTTATTGAATTATGAAATATAAACATACAGGAACCTGCAACAAAGACACTCAATATGACACGCTAAACAGCAGGGCAGGAGACTTCAGGAGTGGGCACATCAACTCCCTGTAGAGACAAGAAAGCTGAGCTGATTCAGCTGTTCAACATAATTTGTTTACAGAACCGTGCCGCCACTCAGCTCACCGTGTTCACGTCGTCAATGACGACACCCTTCTCCGAAACCTCAAGGTCACTTTCTGTGTCATTGTGCGAGCGGTATTCTTCACTCTCCGTCTCTACAGAGCTGGGCTTTAAAAAGAAAGGAAGCGGCCATGTTTTAAGATGCACTTCATGTCTGTAACTAAAATTAAAGCCACAGGCTAAAGAAACCAAGCATGTGGTCTCTGGAGTGAGTTTTACAACTTTAAATTTACAGCTCAGCATAAAATGGGGGAGAAAAATACACAGCAAAGTTTGCTTCTTTGTCTCCCCCCCACAATACCAACCTCATAGTCAGGGTCAACCTCAGGTCCATCATCGTCAGCAAGCTCCTGAGAGAGCGCCTCCACCCAAGTCTGCTGCTCCTCCACATCGTCATCCTCCTCGTCATCTACGTCATCCTGTTTTCTCTTACTGCCCTTGCCACAGGGCTTTGCAGGAGACACTCTGATTTCTGTTCACAAAGCATGATCTTTCATGACGCAGTGTTCACTCAATTTCAGAGAAAACTGTAAAACTCACAAGTTCATTTATATTTAAACCTTCAAGCAGGAGAACACCACTTTAATTAAATCATGTACAAGAGTGTCCTGCTCAGAGGGGACAACAGTACAATCATAAGTTCCATATACTGTATGGCACATCCAAACACTACTTAAGTACAACCAACAATATAACACTTATAAACTTCAGGATCAAAGAATGAATACCTAGTGAAAGTAAACTGAACTTGCCACAAGTGTCTGAAATTCTTAGGTTTTGTTCAGTAAGTGGCTCCAGAAGGCCAGACAATTTTTTTTTATTAGACATAAGGCTGCTTAGTCAATCAGCTTTTTAAACAAGAGGTTCAGATAAACATTGTTTAGAATAATCATGAAACAAACGGTTTGAGCAATTCAGCAGTAAAACGGAGTCCCTCAGTAACTCTAAAACAGAAATAATCTGTAGGCAAAGCTGCAAGCCAGCAGTTATTCACATTATCAGTTAAAGAGTCTTAAAGGTAAACGTAGAGCCAGTACAAGTACATTTGGCCCCAGTTTCAAATTGTTTTCTCTACTAATGTCACAAACTGTCATCTCATTGTCTCCACTGACTTATTTTAAGTATCAGCCATGTCTGTGTGTGTCAGTGGTATCAGTCTGTGTCCTGTTCATATTATTCGACAAAATAAACAACATGCACCTACCTGGGGACAGGGACAGTCCGATTCTGCTGGACACCGGATAGCCGAGGGCACTCTGCATCCAGCGGGGCAGGACGGACAGCAGCAGGCGGGTGACCCGGCTCAGGCGCTTGCGGCCTGTGAGGCTCTGGCGCCCAGGGCTGGAAACCGTGGGGTTAACGAGGACGTTTTCCTTTGTCTGCCGTAAGCCCAGCACCCACCAAAAGCCGTGGTATGCACGCACCTGCAGATCAGAGCAATGTTACTTTAGCTAAAGCTGGAGAGAGGGGTGTAACTTTGTCAGCTACGTACAACGATGCCAAAGGGCCAGAAGAGGCCGCGCAGCAGGGAGGGAAGCACCCCGTCTCTCCTCACAACTCTGTCCTGCAGGTAAGGAGACACGACCGGTGAAAAAAAACAAAACAAAAACACAAACAGCCTTCCTGCTAGTGCGAGAGGACCCGAGCAGATAGCAGAAGCGAGCAGTCCCCCTCTCCTTTACCTCAGTATTGTTAGTCTGGACCCGGACCTGATCCCGCTCCACCTCCACAACTTCGCTGACGCCCTCAAGACTCATTCTTCTGCGGGCTAAAACCTGAAGCTGGAGGGATGCGATAGACACAGGACGAACTGAGAAACAACAGCTTGTGAAGGAGTTACAGCATGAAATGTACCCTGAAGCGTCAACGCTGCAGCCAATCAATGCAGACAAATGCACCTGCTGCAATCAGCGCGAGCCAATGAGCAAATCCCGCCAATTAACCTCCATCAGGCCAAAAAAGGCGGGCAAAACGGTTTGGGCTGGGAGGGATCACAAACGGGTAATGGAAAACTTAAAACGCAGTGCTCTGAAGCCGTGAAATACACGCGTGTCTCTACAACTGAAAAATATATGTTTTCTATCAGCGCTTAAACATGCGGTCTGTAAGTCAAAGTTTTGGGTTGTAATCTCAAAATTTCTGCTACATAACTTGATTTTCGGGGGGCCAACTTCTTGTTATTTTTACGTTACTAAGTCTAAGACCAACGCTAAAACTTACTTCAAACCCAGTTTAGTTAGAAAGTTGAAATGTATTATCTTATTTTATTTTTTTAAATTTATTATTCATATATATCTCTGTCGATATAAAGCGGTCAGGGGGTGAAGGCCGGGTTCTTGAAAGATGGGAATAAACCATACTGGCCCCGTTAACAAAGACTGCCTCCAGACTGCAGGGAACTGTGCTACTGTTGGTAGAAGAGTGGATGTAAGATTGGGGACTCTAAATGTAGGGACAGTGCAGAAGGTTGGATGTCAATGATGGCAGGTGAAGCACTGTGGTGAGTCCTAAATAGAGCAGCTGAAAGAAGGAGACGGCTAACATTTGTAATATAAAGTTATTTTCTAAAAAAAAAAATGTTTTATTGTCACAGAAGCTTGCTTTCTGCCCACCTCTGATCAGATCAGCTGGGTGACCTGTGTGTGCTGTTTTACCGACAGGGACGCTGCAGAGCGCCCTCTGGTGGACAAACATTCCAACATCAACAATCATAAAATACAAGTGTTTGTGTTTTCATTTTCATTTATCGGCCATTATAATTGTAGATACCGATGTATCAGCTAAAATCAGCCCCACTTATATACTGGGTGGGTTTTACAGTTTATTAATCAACAGAACAGTTTCCTAGAACCTTTTAAATATCACAGATAAATATTTACTTTGTAGAATTCATACATATATGCAGCTTAGCTGTTTGTTTTTAAACATCTTTTTTGCAAAAGCTGCAATTTTACAAAATCTAATTTATAAGGGAGCGACGGGTACTCTTCACTGTTTTATTAGTCACTAATAAAATATGCAATAGCACCTGCGCCACTGCAAATAAAAAACTGTGCAAATCTTAAAATGTTAAACAAGTTTCTTTTCAAAATCTAAACCCTTCATGTAGTTATGCAACATCTGCCCTGCGTGCTCCTTGGCACACAAAGAGGTTTAAAAAAGAGGCCCATCATTAAGCTTCCATACTTGACAGTTTTCCCTAAATGGAAACTGTTTCCGCTACCTGTCTTCGTCACATTTACACACCCTTTGATGCATTTGCTGGAGGACAAAGGGATGTGGAAAAGTATAAAAGGTGGCTCTCCCCACTCCTATTTCAAAATCTACAGACGCTCCAAGCCTGTTTGCAGAGAGGGTTAAAGAGATTTAAACATGAATAAGAATCCCGTCACCAGAACGTTCACCATTGGAGCTATCTGCAGTGGAAGCAAAGCTTCAGATGATTTCCCCACAGGACGTAGACACAGCAGTGCAGGGATCCAAGTGCTTTTGTGGGCTACCGGCACCGCAAAGTCCTTCGATTCCCATGAGAACATTTTTCCGAATATCCTGACTCCTGACAGCATCCCACAGTTCACCATTCCAAGTCTGTCTGTGCAGACTGGCTTCAGATCACTGGACAAGGAAAGTAACAAAGAGAGAGAAGGGGGCTCAGAGATGACGCCAGAGTCCTCTGTTTCTTCAGCTTGCGCCACGGTCTCATCATCTGCATCATTCTCCAGCTTTGCTTTAGTTCGGTCAGAGTGCAAAGCTGAGCGGTGTGCTTCAGACCCTTTAACCAAGAGGAGATCTCTCCTTCAGAGGGAGCTGCACTCTCCTTGCTCCTACAGTGAGACCCAGCATTGCCTTGACCCCGCAAGCAAAGCTGCTCTCTCCCTGCCGCACTTGACCAAAATCACCACCCCCTACGGCTTCGTCACCTTAAGTCAGAGCCCCCAGATGGCGAGCGAGGAGGCACTTCTCTGCCAAGCAGGCCCGCACCGCTTAAATAAAGATGACAAGAATTCATACTGGCTCAGCAGAGCTCCCGGGAAAAGCACAGAAGACATTAAAGGCGAGTCCTCCCACCTGTCAGGGCCGGAGAAGAGGCTATCCAAACACTTGGCTGACTCACAGTCTAAGAGAGCACTACAGGCTTCTTCTGCCTCCTCCACCACAGTTTCATCGTCTCCACCACCAAGTCAACCAGATGAGAGGTGTAAACCCCGCTTCTACGAGGTCATAAAGAAACACTTCATCTCCCGCCATTAGAAACATCACTATATATTTGACTGTGTGGTAACAATGCCAAGAAAATATGCTATGTATTTATTTAAATTTGCATGTAAAAATAAAAGTATTTCTCCCGTGTAAAACACTGAAAACTAATTAAATTGTACCAGATTTTGTCACTACTCTGGTGTCACTTTCATATATCGATTTAATATTGAAGCACCTGGTTCTGGTTAACCAAATTTCAGAACCCGTTGGGACATTTTTTCAGGTCTTCTGGTATACCCACCACACGTCTGGTAAACACTTCCTCTTCTGTCTGCTTGTCATTGCACACATTGAATACACAGAATTTTTTTAAAAGCTTATCACACCGTCACAAGGTTTCGAGACAGTTTGTCCGTATACCTGCATGCAACTAAAACTCAGACATGATTGGTTAATACAACCAGACACAAAGCAGAAGTGGTTTGTTTCGCAAAGAGTTCAAAGTCTAGAGTTGAGCACAGAGGAAGATCACCTTTAAGATTCACTGATGATATTCCACATCACCCGTGAGGTTAAGGTTAATGGATTTCTCTACCGCTTAAATGTTAGTCACTCTCAGTTTGCCTGCTCCTATTCACTTCCTCGCTGAACACGTATTTATGAGCCCTGAGTCCTGCAGCGCTGAATGCGTCCTTCTGCCAGATGAACCAAGCGCTTGCTCTTTAGCATATGAAGAGACCGCCGGTCGCCTAATACATCCTTGGAGCATGCGTCCTTAACCCTCCCACACACTGAAATTAAGCAGGTAAATATCATTATGGCCCAGAGTACCCTTATCTAAGCCGAGGGCGAGGGAAACACAAAGCTGACCCTTGAACACGGGAATAGATAAAGGTGATCTAAATTTAAAATCACCCGCCGTGCTGTTTCTGTGCATGATTTAGGCCGTTCCTCGTGGCAAACAGGGGTTTCAGCTTTAATGAAAGTAAAACAGGAGGAGATGAAAGAAAAAAGACATGCAGAACATCTGTGTTGATTAAAATAAAACAAGTTGGAGAGGTTCATATCGCAGTCCATCTGAATGTATTTTTATTGTGTTGTTATTGTATGTTCCTTAAATTGGACTCCACTGGTCAATATAACAATACAAACAAAAGCTGAATATTATTAGTTGAATTTTTTTATTTTTTTGCTTTATTTTAACATGTGCTGACTGTGGAGTTTGCATGTTGTCCCTGTGCGTGGGTTAAAGTCACCTTATGCAGATGCAAGAGATATGTTTGTATTTCCTGTCTCAGAGCAATGCCGAGAAACACGCATTCATTACTTCTAGGCTGAACTATTCATTTTATCAGGTCAATCCAAAACACCACAGTGAGTTTACTGACAGGGAGAAGAAGGAGACATATAGACAGACCTCATGGTACCTTATTATCCCAACAGAGCTCTTCGGTTTACTTGTCGTTTGTATGACATTTAAAAGTAAAATGAGAACCTGCTCCCAGCTTTGATTCAAGAGACAGACCACTTCTCTACTTTCAAGAGACTTTAAACCTTCGTGTTTGATAAAGCAACCTAGAAACCAAGAAACCTAAAAGATTCAGAGAGTTTCTCTCATCCCAACCGGTCGCAGCAGATGGCCTCCCCTCCCTGAGCCTGGTTCTGCCTGAGGTTTCTTCCTGTTAAAAGGGAGTTTTTCCTTCCCACTGTCACCAAAGTGCTTGCTCATAGGGGGTCATATTATTGTTGGGTTTTTCTCTGTATGTATTATTGCAATAATAACAGTGTGCAATACAAATACACTTATTCTTCTTTTTTTATTACTAAGTTATTATACTGTGTTGTGTTGTTTGTGTTGCGTTGTGATGTGTCATATCGTGTCGTGTTGTGTTATATGTAGTGCCGACGTAGGACAGTTTTCCAATTTCATTGTACTACTGTACTATGTATGACTGTGCAATGACAATAAAGAGTTATCTTATCTTATCTTATCTTATCTTATCTTATTGTAAGGTCTGCCTTACAATATAAAGCACCTTGAGGTGACTGTTGTTGTGATTTGGTGCTGTATAAATAAAATTGAACTGATTTAAAGAGGAGTGGGCCAACCAGATGTGCACAGTGACATCTGGATTTTGGGTTGAGTTGGGAGATTTAAAAGAAATCAAACCAGAAGATATTTTAATCCAGATGAGCTCAGATATTTTGGGCATTCTCGTTTTGACACTGTGTAAGTACACTGGCTTTAAAGTTAAATGTCAGCTGAGGAGTGTTAGTTTGGCAGGAATGAGGCAGCGTGACCCACATTGTATTTGTGACCCTCTGATGTGCGCGTCCTTCTTCATTTCAGTTCTCAGACAGAAGTGAAAATTCAAAAGAAATTGGTCTGGTTACTTTCCCTGAAAACACAGAAAGAGATTCAGCACTAATGTCCTTCGTCACCGCCACCGTGCTGAAAGTCTCCACGGACTCCACAGTCAGCCACGATTACACGCTTTTATATGTGTTTATCAGTGACCTGCTGACTCCTGCAGTGAGTGTAAATATAACAGATACTGAAAAACTGCTTTAAGCCAGAGGCATTCTGGGATAGGACTATGTTAAGGCAGCGTCATGGTGCAGAAACCAGCTGCACACAGAGATTAAAATATCATACAGCAACCTGTGTGTGTGCATGTGTGTGCATGTGAGGAGGTGTCTCCGTTTATCAGTTGCATCACACACGTTTCATCACGCCTACCTAAATAATCAAACCTTGTCCCCTGTAGTCAGGTGTTGATGCTGTCACACGGTTGTTTTTCTGTGCTGGCAGCGTGCGGTTGTAAGATTAAACTTTCTGCAGTCATTCATGTAATCAGAATATGAATATGAATTTCCTGTGTTTCCTGTTGCACTAATGCTTTCTCTTCAGGTGCACTGTAGTGTCAGTATTTGTGATCAGTAAACTATCCCTGGATCAAGTTAAGATTATATTCCAGACATTCATTCAAAGAGGTTTAAGGAACACCAACAGAAACACCGGCAGATGTTTATCAGAAGGCAGTTATTTGGTGTTTCCACCTGCACAAATATGTTTTCCTTCCATTTAAACCAGCGGTAGCAAGTGTTTCAGAGAACAGTGCGTGCATGAAAGCTACAAGTGCATCGGGCACATGAGAAAGCCTAAACAGCACATGCAGATCAACTGCAACTGACAGAAGGGAGCAAAAATGAGTGCATGCTGAAGGGGCTCTGCTGTAACTGCTCTTCCCCATTTTGACAAGCTGAGGTTAGCTCAGAGAACAGCTTTGCCCTCAGAACAGACATAACTTTTCCGGTGCCAACCTCAAAGTCTAACTAGAAACGATTAGAACGAAAGATAAGCAGGGCAGCCTCAAGAAGACACAAGTTTGCTTTAAAAATGTGCCACTACACGTGTGTGACTGTGAGAGGCAGCGAAACGCAGCAGGGGGAGTAACTGAAGCGGATGGGAAGTGTTTTATACTGACTGAGCTGGCCCCCTGAGCTTCACATGCACTCAGTTCAGTGACAGAAGCAAAGTGTGAGAGAAGTGGAAGAGCGGGTTAGGTGTTAGATTCCCGATGGCGTCTGCTTCAAGCAGCAGAGTGGACGAGCAGCCGCCGGCACTGCCTGTCAAACAGCACAGGTAAGCCCACCAAAGTGCATTATCTTTCTGTCAGAAGGAGAAACTTTTATGGCTCCTTTTGACATGTTTTTCGTTGAATTTTAACAATATTTTCACTCCACACCCAAACATGACAATGGAGCAGCAGGCAGCTTTTGCTGTGCATATATTGCAATTGCATGTATTTCCTCAGGCATTCCAGCGTGGAGTCTGACTGCAGCCCTGTGGTACCACAGCATCAAAGTTCCGCATACAACGATGTCTTTCCTGAACCCACCGACTGCAATGCAGCCCAGTGCCCCATACACCAACGCTACGGTAGGTTTGGAGAACGATGACACCAAAATATCTCTGCAACAACAAATTAGGCAAATATCACTGTGGTTTACTGATTACTGAATTTTTTGGTTGGTTTTGTTGGGAAAAAAATACTATTACATCTGGTTCTTTTTTCTCAGTTCGCCTTTCAGTTCATGAGAACTCGAGAGGAAGTCACCTTACAAAACTTTTACTTTCACTGAAAAGGCAAACAGGGTAAATGTCCTTATACTGAATGACTCCTTTGGAGGTGTGATTGTACTATGCAAGCAAGTTCCTCTCAAATAGGAGTGTCAAACTTTCTCTGGGCCACATGCATTCAGTTTCATATTACGTAGGCTGCACCAGAAAAAGAAACTACTACTAAACAATTAATAATGAAGTACATTCTTAAAATATTCCCATTTATTGAGCCAACCCTTACCGATCAGCTCATGAACAGTCAGTGTTGTTTTTGTAAACATAAGTGCAGTTTCAGCAGTTTGTCTGTTTTACAAAACTATTTTACCTCAGTGTGTCTCTGTATTGTGTTTAAACTACTTCCCCTTCTTTGCCTGCTGTTGTTGTCTGACTTTAATTCCTCTGATGGTGTTGCTCAGATCCGTGCAGACACCTGGAGAGATTTTACTCTGATATCAACCCACCGCCTGTCCCGAAGAAGAGGTTACATCGTGCTTTATCCCTCCCGCCCACCCATGTGCCTTCGTTGCCTCACACGTCACCCTTTTCTCCTCTGCAAAGATTCCCCCAGAACTTTGACAATCCGCTGTACATGATGGCACCCAAACAAGATCTTTTTTTCTCAGAGGAGCTAGAAGAGTTTAAACCATCCACGAGCAGTCCTGTCTCCGTGGTGTCCTTCTCCCAGCTGTCGTTTGACACTCCGGACGAAGATCTTCCCTACATCTTCCACAGCTTTGTCGACCAGGGGGTTGTTTCTCATGGGATTCAGCATCGCCATCTACTCTTTCTTAGAAGCATGGCACAGACTGTGGAGGCAAGGAATCTGCTAGAGGGCTCTAGAAGGGATGTGAGCTCATTAGAGCCTCAGGATTTCCTCTTGCATGAGGGCAGCCAGCCAAAGCAGATTGGAAACATGACTTACTACAGCCTGCACAGCCCAAAGTTCCCACAGAGAGTGCTCGGTTTAAGGGTAATGTTGCATGTCTTTTATTCATTTTGCATAGTTTACAACCAGCTCTGTGTGCATGTTGTGATTTGTAGTTGTTACATTTCCCTTGAAATTGTCTGCAAAACCAAGTGGTAGGAATGTTGTTCATAGCAACCAGTAAAACAAATATGATCTTTATCGGCACTTGCAAGTGCTACAATGGCTTGTGGTGGCAAAAACGCTTCCTCTGAACTATAGTATACCCACGGCTGCAGCAGAATAGACTTTTTTTGACACATTTATCACTCTGCACTTCAGTGGTTTGATTGCTGCTTCTCTGTGCAGGTACACAAACACACCGATGAGGTTTTCTCCGCTCAAATCCAGCGGCAGCCGCCACACGTCAACGTGCGAGATGTTATTACTTATTTCCCATCCAGCAACAGCTACAGAACCAGTGAAACTCGAGATCCCGCAGCAGGCTCTCCTAACCCAAGGTCAGACTGCACTCCTGCTAATCTACCAGGTGGAAGCAGCACTGAGCGTGCAGCAGAAGCCACGAACCTCTGCAAGCTCACAGTTCAGTCTTTCCTCCAGAAAGGTCAGGCCGTGAGCGTGGAAAGAGACCTGCCACACGCCAGCCTGGACGGTTTTGTTAAAGACAGCAGCTCGCTGCAGAGCACAGACTCTGTGCGTTATTATAGACAGGTGTGTGCTCTGTTGCTGCAGATATTAATGGGTACGCACCATCTATACAGTAAGAGAGGCACTGCAGCTGAGCTCAAACCCCAGGAGATCCTTCTAGTGTGGCCCGATGGGAAGAGGGATGAGGCAGAAAACAACTTGAATAAGGACGCCTCTGAGGAGAAGGAAGAAACGGAGTGGGTGAACACTCCAGAAAAAGGGAGGATTCAGACGTTATGGAGGACAAGAGGCTGCCCTCGTGTGGTGCTAAAGCCACAGACTTTCGCTCAACCCCTCACCTCCATCAAATCTCAAATTACAGCTTTAATCCAGGCCTGCTGGCAAGAGAGTGCGACATCTCCGGGTTCAGTACCAGATGTTTGCAAATCCTCCTACCAAAAAGGGCTTCTTCATCTGTCCTCTCTGCTTGAGAGCGACAGCGGGGCTCAGATGGTGGACATGGTAGCCATGCTTCAGGTGCTCCTCTGGGGCCCACACGTCTCTATCTTCAACCAAGGAGGCCCTGCAACCACCGTTATACATAACTGGCTGACAGTCAAGCGGGCGCTGCTGGTTATGAAGTTGGCCGAAAAGGGGCTGATCGAGGATCGGTCTCTTCTGGACTGGGAGGACTGTATGTGCTTGCAGTATCTGTCCTTTACAGACTCTGAAACAGTTGCGAGTGTGGCCAATGAGCTCTGGCACAGAGTGAATGCTGAGCAAAGTTTATAGTCGATATCAAAGGAGTCTGCCGTTATCACCCGACTGAAAGTGAAAAACAGTCCAGATTGAGGAATAATCCACTTCAGTGCATTCTCCTTTATCAGCTGTTCATGTGCTGCACTTCATAATGTAAAACTAGTCTATTAAAAAGACCCCACTGGTTTAAAAAAAAAAAAAAGGCTGTTTTGTCAGCTTCATCTGACTCTTGTGTCAGTTTTTGTCTGTACACTTTACTTCTCTCTAGTTATTGGGTGGGTTTCAAGTTTTTAAAAAAAGGTGTGAAGGTGGGGCATGGTTTCTGTTCTCAAGACCTTCACAAAAATACTGTGTGTAAATGAATGCGACTTCATGCAAGTTGTTGACTTTCTGAAGGGGATCGACCTTATTCCCCGTATCCCAAATCAAGATGTTACGAAATGCAGCCAGGAGCTTACACAACTACTATTGGCTCTAGCTTTGGCTAACACAACTAAATGCTTTCTCCTTTTAGAGGGTGTAATTATGTTTCATGACACCACAGAAACCACAGTTTAAGGTGAGCACTTTTATTTAGTACAGTTACAACATGCACATCTCTATCAAGTGTATCGAAACAAATTAAAATCATGCACACATTAAAAAAAAAATCAACAGGAGAATCAACTGAAATCTAAATTTCTAATTACATGAGTAAGCTCAATATAACTCATAAATATATTTGAGATGATGAGGGTTTAGAGAGAACGAGCAGGAAGCCAACACTACACATCGGGGAAAGTATCACAGCAGTAAGGATGCATTGCCCAAATATTACGTGTCGCTTGATTTACATTCCTGACATATTAACATCTTACCCTAGTGCAAATCGTAATGAAACACAGCACGTGGCAGGTAAAACACACCTCAACCATACTGAGCTTGGATGACATTTTTATAAACAAAATTATAAAGATGTGGTTGTGGATTGAAATAAAAACAACAACAACAAAAAAAAAAGATTTGTAACTGCTCGGCGTAATTTTAATCATCATCTGAAGAGTCACGCTCGATGCTGTAAGCCATGAAGAAAGCGTCAGGGCGGGAAGGGACGAGGGGATGACCTGGTCTCACAATCTCAAAGCCCAGGAAACTGAATGTACGCAGCAGGGATGCTATGGAGGACGACACAAGGAGAGATGTCATCAGCAAGGCTTTCTGACCAGAACAGAGCAAAAGCAGCTCATCTTCCATGAACATATAGACACGACACTGCCGCTGTGAGTGTGATGAAAAGCCCCGTGCAGAGAAAAGCTCTCAGCACTGTAAACAGAGCAGTATGGACTTGGACCAGATGTTAGAATCAACATACTCGTGACATTTCATAATCACACTGTTCACTAACAGCATCTGTGGTGGTACGGTGGACATTAGTCTGCATAACATGAGTAAGTTAGTTAATTATTAGATAAATCAGCAAGACTGTGCTCAGAAACATCCGGCACGTGTTGCAACATCTGAGCTCTTTAACGAAGAGTCTGGCCTGAGTCCAGTGCTACTTATATTTGGAGTCGTGAGCAGTACATCACACATTTATTACAGGTCTGGAAACTAGTGTGAGGAGGTAATGAGGTTCATAACATCTGCAGGCAGTATGCATTTAAAACATGCTTAACAACAAAAACGTTACTCGGTTTCCTGATATAGCTCAGTATTTTATACAAAGCGTTAACAGTTTTAATTTGCATCAAAGAAAAAACAAACAAAACCCTCACCTCTATCATCACGGCTCTTATGAAAACAGATGAAAACGTGGTCAACCTGCAGCTGCTCTTCTGCAAACTCCAGCAGAAGGGCAAAACTGGAAAGAAACAGAGTAAACAAGAAGGGTTAATGATTTGTCAGAGGGTTGTTAATAATTTGAGGCAGAGCACATTTCACCCAAAGATGGAGACCCTTTGTTTATTTACTTATTTATTTCCAAATACCATTTTTTGCTTTTAAGATTTTTTTTCCAGTGTGGATGTGAATATTATTATACCTGCCTGTATACTGCATCAGGAAACACGAGTAGATGTGTGTTTCTGCTTTAGCAGTTACCAGTAAGTAAAAGTGTCTGGTCTACTTCCTCTTACTTGAATCACTTGCAAACAAGTTTTGCCTGCTCACCTGTCTTTGCTGCCCTCGGGCAAAGCTCCAGGAGGGATTTCAACGTACAGGTTTCCTCCTTTCAGCGCTGCCCTCCATACACAGTGCTTTCCTTCGGAGCGCCGGGGCTCAAAGAGTAAGAAGCGCACTCTGCTATTGGCAGGGGAAGGCTCCTCAAGAACCAGCAACTGAGCATCCTGGGAAAGTGTAGTTTAGGTTATGTTAAAAATGAAATTGCACATACCAGCAGGGAAATTTCTGTATTTCTTTTTAAGCTTTCATCACTTACAGAATAGAACAGCTTAGCTGAAAGATTGCGATCCCGTTGGTCATTCCCTCGCCCACCTGGGATCTTCAGGGGTGGGAGAGGGGCATCAGGAGCACCACAGAGGCCCCGGACACGGGTTACTGCAACAGCGGGAGCACCTCAAAGGACTGGAGATACTGGATAGCGAAACAAACGCACACACAGATGGAGCCATCATGAGCTGGGTATTCAGTCGAGATTCTGCTACCAAACACAAACCAAACTCTTTATGAGCAGCACGTTCAGCACACATTGAACCGCCGAGTGACTCATCTGCGATACTGCAGTAAAACATTTGCTAACCCCGAGTGAGTCTTCAGACACAAAAGCACAAGACTGGGGGAACCAGTTCAATCAATAACTGTTCCTATGTTGAGCACAGATGCGTGCATGACGTGCCGACGGATGAGGAACACGTAATGGAAAGGAGAAGTGGTTTATGTCACACCACCACATCACTGATGCCTCACTTAAACTGTTAGCAATTTTATGTCAGCTCTCAGTCAAATATTGACCACCAACTATGAGAAATTGTTTGCTTTTGTCTCACAAAGACACATCGAGGCTACGGCTCATGTGGGAAAGGAAGCAAACTTCAGAAAGCTAACGTTTGTCAGGCACACTTCTGCTGCGGTCACTTTAAGCTTGTTCCACGGTTCTCACAGGAAACCTGCCAGAAGAACGGGCTATTTTTTCCTCTAGCCACTAGCCTACTTTAGCCCTTCACTCACTGTGTAGCTCCAGTTTAAGAGACAGGGATAAACAATACTCAACAGCCGTTATAATCCAGCGCTGTGTCACAGCACTCCTCAGATTTAGCTTGCTGTGACTGCATACATTTACAGCTTTGAGCAAAGGCCTGTTTACTGGGATTCTATTAGGAACAAAAATAACAGCACCGCAAACACCATCACACACAGAGATGCTTCTCTTACGCAAATGCCACCAATGCGCTACATGCTGAGCAGAGGTGTGGAAACCAGTGTCATTCGCAGTGTGTAATATTCAACTTATGATCTCACAGAGGATTGGGGATTTTAACCAAATGCAGTTACTCCCTAAATCCAGTAATCAGATTAGGAAAGGAAGCCACTTGCCATCCTTGCAGAACCCCGTGTTCTCTTTAAATCGCCTCCTCTCTGGGATTTAAAAAGAACACGAAGTTCTCAGTCAGTTTCTGCCTTTAGCGTTCTTTGAGACTGACATGTGAACAGTAGGCAGCACCGCACAATGACACCCTGGGGGTCATCTTAATAAAAACAGCTGCCGTGAATAGTGTTTGTAGGAGAGTCTGTTGTAAATGAACATCATTGTAAAGGACATCTGCACTAAATCTCATGCATCCATCTAGCAGAGAATCATCTTTAATCTCATGTTCTAGCCTGCACTGTTATAATGAGACTCTTTAATGTAGTATGACATTTGCAATGTGGGTTTTGTTTTAGCTCACCTAACACGTTCTGGCTTTCAACAAAAGAAAAATTAGCAGGTTAAAACGGTAACAGTCTTTAATGCGGGGTTAAGTTTACACAAGTTTAAATACATTTGATTTAATCAGGTGGTCAAAGATGAAAAGAAAAGGCCTAGCCTTCTCTTAAGGTAACAGACTTTTTTACCTTAGGAGGGGGGGGAGGCTATTAGCTGCTATAATAGATGTTATTTTAATGCATGCTTTAATGCTTTATTATTGGAATTTGTGGATGTTAAACCAGTCTTATCGTACATGATAGCTCTGTGTCAGCATATTTATAAAGGCATTTTTTTCAAGCTTTGGCTTAAAGAGAAACACTATTATATAATATACATACATAATATCTAACCATGACAATTACATAACTATATCCAACTTACAACCAACTAGTTGCCACGATAAGCAAAAATACATTAAGATTTGTGTGTAGGCCGTAACTTCCAAAATTCCCCACACAGCACCCACCCTGCCCCCCTCCGTCCCTCCTCCCCCGCAGTGGAAATTTCCTATGAGCGCCTCAAACACTATAGATCAGCACAAACAGAGCGCGTCAACAAATCCTGTCAGGGCACGAGTGGTGCAACCACAACCGACCACCAGACCGGGTTAATCGCTAACAACCAGTTTCGAGGCATCCACCCCTACCAGTCTCCTCACTTCCAGTCAATCGGTACTTTAACTGCACCCAAACAGGCACACGGCTGGCTGAAGAATGGCCCCGCAGCAGCTCGCATAAATCAAACCGAATCTGATTAAAAACATTACAAAGGTTCTTCTGAACGTCGGTAAAACGTATTCCCTGTCCGCCCACCTGAAACCCGTGTTTCCAGAAGTTACTGGGTGTCTTATCGTGGGTTCAGAAGGGCAAAAAGAAAAAAATAAAATAAAATAAAATATATAAATAAATAAGAAAATCCCTGAAACCACGAATTAATCCGTACAGCCATCATTTTAACTACATGGTTAGCTAACTTTATATAACCCCGCGCAAAAATTTTCGTACTACTTCTACATCACAAAAGCCACATCAAAAAAGATAGTAACGTGGTTTCAAAGCCATTGATCATTTTCATTGCCAAGGACGAAAATATGAACGCATCCGTCAGATTACCTAATGCTAAAGAGCTAGCATTTAGCTTAAATGTCTACGCTAATATGTAAGGGGGAAACACACCTAGTAACGATAAAACACTCTTATTCCGCGTTTTAACACGCAAAATTTGTATTTTAAAATGTTATAAATTACAATTCTAGTCGCTACCAGGTCTTAATAGAAAACCTTACGACACGTTAGCCCAGCCATCGATAACGCGAACCTGTGGCGTTTGACATATTAGCTGACGCGTTAGCATCTGAAGCTACCAAAGCAGCGCTGTCACTTCTAACATTTTGCTCATAATCCCGGTACTGTGGTGTATTTTAAGGTGATTAATATGCATCTTTTATGGAATTGAAATAAGCTGCCCGTGATTAATAATGTTCTCTAGAAATGTCAACTGAAATAAGTGTCGCTGTTATGTAAACATGAAGGGCTGTGCTAGTCGCCCCACAGCGTATGCGAAAGCTAGGCCGCGGTTTTTAAACGTAGCTTAGCTTAGCTCACTGAGAGCAGCTGACACGGACCACAACATACCTTTCACTTTCAGGTTTATTACTGGACTTCTCGATAACAGGCATCTCGGGTAAGTTTCTCTCTTTTTCTCTAGCAAAACAGTGACTATTCAAAATCGTCTGTAGGTTAGATTTAACCATCCGGCCAGCGTCCACACCAGCTGCTCCCTCTGTCCTCTCCTCGTCACCGTATTCTGGGCTAACAAGCGGGGAGCTGCGGTATTTGGCGGAGGCGTGTTCTGTCACTCTGACGTTTACCGTCGAAATGTGACGCAGTTACTCAGCACCGTCACTTCACAGTGTGATAAAATATACAACAATAAAACAACGCGTTCAGTATAAAACGATTTATATCACAAAAGAATATCTAAGTACTAATA